TGGCCGCGTTCAGCAGACACAACTGTTGAGTGAGCGCTCAATGATTCCTTAACATGATTGGCTGGATCTAAAAGTATTAGCCAATCATACTGAGCGCTCACTCAACAGTTGTGTCTGCTGAACGCGGCCACTATTTAAAGCCCGCTGCAGACGGTGCTATTTTTCCTGCTGGAGTGTTTGCAATCTAATAAATTAACATCGTTGTACCACTCAGCACTCAGGATTCCTAGTAATTTAGTAAATCGCGAGCAATCCAGCGTCGTCTGCAGCGGGCTTAATAAAAAAATTAAATGAACAATGATAGTGTTAATAATCAAAATGAAATAAGTGAAAGGATTTCACCAGTATGATAAATACAAGTGTCATTAATTATTAAATTACTAACATGATAAAAATATATTGATACATATATGTATAATATTAAAATTATTAGTAAAAAATTAAATAAAATATATTAATATATTGCATTAATATAATTAATACAGCCGTAAAATTAATAAATTGTTTATAACAACCACAATTGTTTATAACCCAACATGATATAATATGAAAAATATAAATGAACAGTAATAATAATTTGTTTCATTTATTTATTTAAATGACTGAGAATGATAATAAAAATTTATGATTTATCTGCAGCTTTTGACGATTCATATAAAATTAATGGAGCATTTAAATGGATTTAAAAGGTCTTAATGTTATTTTTATTTTTTAAATTTAAAAGAAATAACAAATTTAACAAAATTTTTTAAATTAATAATTTTTACAATTTCTTTTACATACTGCGTTTTCTTTACTTATCTACTAAATTGTAATTTATAAAAATATTTTACATAATGTTATACACTAAAATTATAAATATAAAATTCTTATATAGTAAGTAAGTAACTTTATTCCCTTTCGGGCAAAAGTGGCGCTTTTGAAGGGAGCGTTCCCGAACCCTTTACACTTCCTCTCCTTCTCCCTTTCTTCCACGCGGCCCATCTTCTTAATGACTGTAACGATGGCAAAGGGTAATTCAATTTCGTACGAAGATAACGGTAAGCTTTCGGACTTACGTTCCGTAACGAAATGGCTGAAGCATAGTCATCGATGGACCACTGAATCCATTTTTTCTGCGTCAAAATGCACTGTATTTGCCCTTCTGTGAAGTAGGGTTTTAATAGCGTTCTAACGTATTCTTCTCTTTCTTGAGGAGCTTTTCCGATTGCAGTATAAATGCTCGCCAATTGTGCTTGAAGATCGTTAATTAATTTTAACATTTCTTCCTTTTCGGCAGAAATCTTCTTGACTTGTTCCTCTTTCTCTTGCAATAGTTGCTTCAATGCCTCGTTTTCTGCTTCTACTGGTGTTTGCATTGCCAAATCTGTGCAATTTGATTGCATGTGAAATGCGTGCAGTGACCGATAATGATGCACTTCTGCCTTAAGTAACGTCACTTCTGCTCGTAACTTGTCCATTTCGGTCGGCTTTGAGGCACTGGTAATGACGCTTTTATCACAGTTGTCCATGAAAAAGCTGGAAAAACATTGTCATATAATTAATGGTATTTAAGATAAAGCAATATACACAGTGTATTAAAAAACCCCGCAATAGGGATATATTGCCGAATTGAGTAATTTATACTGAATAGATTAAGTTATAATCGGAAACGAATTCAATTTATGTGAAAATAATTTTTAAAAAGTTAATTTAATTTCTGATTATTTAATGTCAAGCGTTAAAAGCATATTAATAGAAGTATATTAATAGAAGTATATTAATATTTTCTGAGTGGATATTAAATACACCGTAGAAGAATTAAGCCGAAAAAATTAAAATGTAAATGTAAAAAAAACAAGTACCGTTGTCTACGTGTCGACAAAGGGGTATTTTCGTCGCTGCATATTATTGCTCCTTCTGGAGTAACTTCAGCGCTTCTTTTTGAATGCGCCTTGCCACGTTGTTTGCGCTTTCTTAATGCGCTTGCTCTAACATTGTATGCATGCGGTTGAAATTTCAATGATCTGAAAAAAATACAATAATAGTTATATATATTTATTGTAATGCTAAGATTTTAGTAATTGATGAATGCACTCCTGTGCATAGCCTACCTTCTAGGAAACGTAAAATTGCATTCATTCTCGAGTGTATGTAATGCACTTGGTGGTGAACCAATAACTCGATACCGTTTGTTCAACCACGGATTACTATAGACAGATATAAAACAATGTAACATTGATAATTAATTAAACCATGTGAATGAAGAAATGACATATGAGAATTTTACATTATATATGACCAGTCGAAAAATGACGTCATACTTTATGGAAATTCACAAATAACATTGATAGTATATAAATAATTTTTTATTTTACCTTCGAGAATGCCTTTTTGGTGTTGCTGTAATGCCATCAGTTTCATTCGGACCATCAAGATTTTCATTTGTATCGCATAATTCATTCAATGCGTCAGTTCCACTGTTGGTTTTTTCACGCTCATCGGCTATAACCCTGCTTGTGCCTGGATTGCAGACAAGTGGAAATTCTTGACGAATGATATTTAAATCCAAGTTTACTGGATTATCAGCTCTGAAACGTGTACAAAAATGTATGGTATTATTTATCACGTACTTAAAAGATGTTACATTTATTATGATTGTGAATAAAAATTATACCTCTTTTCTGTTGACGTTAAAAATAAAGTCGGTATAGCAGTTTGTAAAAGGCGCAGTCTTTTCTTGCAATCGGGAACTTTTGATTTTTTCTTTGGTACTACGAATGAGTCCTCAGAAAAATGCAGCGAACACACTTTTGCTAAACAGGACATATATAATTTAATTTTAAATATATTCGTAACATACATAAAAATCATACAGGTTAATAAATAAAGAATATAAAAATAATAATAAAAAGAGTATTCTCTTGATGTATTACATTATATGCATGTAATGTACACGTAAAGGCTGTGTAAGCTCAGTGACAGTTATTTATGCGCAAAGAAAAAACAATTAATTTTATTGTGATGGTCTATGTTATATCCCATGTTTATTTTTCTGATTTATCATCGTAACAGAATAAATTGCTTTTTCTTTGCGTACAAATATCTCTCTGAACTTACAGCCTTTATGTGTACATTATTTGATGCATTTATTTTTAAGCGGTATGCAGGACAGTTCACGTTGTGAATAATTAAAATAAATAATAATTGAGAATGAACTTACCTGTATTTTTAGATATGCTATTTTCTCCGATTTTTCGCAGCCAAGCTTCGCGTATAATTTGATTTTTTGGCAATAGAAAAAAATTAATACGCTCACCGCTATAACCATTTGAATTGCTATTGCAACCACTCACTATGCACGAATTCACCATTTTGTACAATCACTGATCTCAATGATTTTTCCGAAATTCTTACAAGCAAAATAAATCTTCCGAAATTCTTGCCTACATAGAAAACGGAGTGATCATAACCTTGATCGCGTGTACAAAAGGCCTAGTGCACTAGTTCAGTAGTGCAGTAATAAAGAACAGGCCCAAAGATAGAAAGAGAAACTACGACGCTCGAATGCGTGAAACAAGGACGATAGATGCAGCATACCCAACTTACCAACGCTAAATTTTTTTTACTTTTCACGGTTGATAGCCCTGGGAATCTATAGCCGTCGCAAAGCAAAAGTAGGCGTGGTTTAGCCGAACTGAGCACACCGTGTTATCCCTTCCACCATGGTCGCAAAGCAAAAGTAGGCGTGGTTTAGCCGAACTGAGCACACCGTGTTATCCCTTCCACCATGGACGTAAGAATATATGGACGGAGCGTAATGTAGGATTTAGGACGAGGGGACCCAAGCGAGCGCGGTGAGGGGAAATTAGGTGGCGGCCACCGTAAAACCGTGGTGGCGGCCATATGTGATGACTAGGTGATTGTATAGGACGCCTCGTGATAGGCTGGTAGCGTCGCCGCCATATGTGATGACTACTTTTCCCCTCACTGCTCTGGCTCGGCCCCCGCTAACTTACACTCCGTCCATATGTATATTCTTACGTCCATGCCTTCCACCATGCATCGACATGTAGAATGGACTGCTCATGGTTATGTCACAGTATAACCATAGTATAACCACAGTATAATCAGTATGGGCACTCGCTCTTTTGTTTCACGTTCGCGCCGATCCGTACTGCGCATCCGACATGTTTTAGTTATGACCAATCACAGGATTTTTGTACGTGTGTTAGTGCAAAGTCGGTGTGACATTGAAAAATTTGCAGTGTTGACGAATAACGCGTTAATACTTTTATACGTTGGAGCAAGTAATTACATTAATTACTTTTATTAGAACATTTTCTTTCGTAGGCCATTTCTATTTACAATAAATAATGTACGCCAGTTCGTATGCGCCTTTCTTGGATACGATCCTGAAAAGGGCCCAGGCACTTTTAGCCGTTGATACACTGTTGGATATAATAAAAACATGGCGGAAAATTGAGAACGCTCAGATCAAAGGTGCCGACAGAGAGTGGGCATACTGGTTATACTGTGGTTATACTGTGGTTATACTGTGGTTATACTGTAGTGGTATACGTGACGTAAACTATAGATTTGCAGTACTGGCAGTGCATATCGGAACACAACCAATGGCCGCGTTCAGCAGACACAACTGTTGAGTGAGCGCTCAGTATGATTGGCTAATACTTTTAGATCCAGCCAATCATGTTAAGAAATCATTGAGCGCTCGCTCAACAGTTGTGTCTGCTGAACGCGGCCATTGTAGACCCGGGCTAAAGGGTACTTTACATGCTTTACATCCTTCCGCGCGCTTGACGCTCACATGTAAACGGCACCTTAATCGAGATCATTTAACCGCCGTTTGTTTGGTTGACGGCGGTCGAAGGTGTGCGAAGCAGGATTTTCTAATTTCACAGAAATCTTCGCTAGTGAGCCATTAACAGTAATTCTCACCGCATCTCGTTCGTGTGCTCGTGTTGCGTTATATTTTGTCGCAGACATGGCAGTGCAGCCTAACCAACAGTTCAGCATGGGTACATATAAGCTGTTTTATCTAACCACAATCTTACAGGGCGCTTACGTTGTTTTCATATAAACATTTCTTTCAGATCCTCCCACGCAGCAGGGCTTTGTTAGATTTTTTAAAAGTCTCCCGGACGTGAGTAGGCAATATTGTTTATGCTGCACATGCATGCAATCGTCGAAACTTTATTTTTTATAATTATTTATGCATTAATTAAACTCCTCTAATATTAACGATTATCTCTATGACAACGATGCGTCCTTGCGTCTTTCTATTAATATATGTTTAATAATTTTTTGTTTTGTAGAAAGGCGCTGTGATTGGCATTGTATTTTCTTTTACATTATTGATGAATTACAAATACATATTTGAAGGGAGATTACATATTAACAAGGAGTGAAATAATTTGTACTATTGTATTATTGATACAACTGTCGTTTGAAGTATCTAGTGAAGCATAAAGTATTACGACAAAATAATTTTTCCAGATTTGTACAGTAGATTGTGCAATTTTTTTTCCTTGCATATAAATGTTCCAGCTTTTGCGATATTTGTGTCAAAGAAATGAACGTGTTTGATATATAAATGTAGATGTAAACATTATCCTTTCAAATTAATGTGATATATTATCCTGTTGATTTATAATAGATCTGAGAAAAATAGTTTTACCACAAATAAACGATAGAGTTTACGATAGAGAAAGATAACCCACCAGAATTTATATTAAACATATTTGAACCAACCTGAAATAGTTTTCTAAACAGAGCTGATTTTTCTGGGTTACATAAAATCGATCACTCTTTTAAGGAATATTGAGTGATTTAGTCGACCCAACTGGCATAAATTTTATTAAAATGTATCCACATACTGTGTTTTGTTTTTTCATTATCCAATTGAATTTCTTGATCATTTTAGTTTTAACGGTGTTATTATGTTTATTGAGTTTATTTGTGTTGTATTTGAAAAAATTGTCTACTAAGTGTTGAGGCATTGATGTATATAACAAGTCTTCGATCTTTGAAATTTGTGATGTAACGTGTTTAAGGGTAAAATTGATATCCCTAATTTCAAAATTTAATAGTTGCTTTTGGCTACGTTTTTTAAACGCTTGAAAGCTGTGTTTAGCGTAATTACTATAGAACTCTATGTTAAATTTCAGATTAAAAATATGTGGTGGTAGAACTTCCTGTCGTCGGCAGCGTAACAGGAACTTTAGTTGTTGTTTCGAAGAGTGGAACTTATCTTTCATGTTTCTCCATAATTTTAGTTTTTTGGTACATTCAGGACCATACTGTTTGGATATCTTGTTGAAGAAACTATCGTTGGAGAACACCATTATTCGGTCAGGGTGTATAATGACGGAGGTAGATATTGAAGTTCTACCAGAACAGGAAGTTCTACCACCACATATTTTTAATCTGAAATTTAACATAGAGTTCTATAGTAATTATGCTAAACACAGGTTTCAAGCGTTCAAAAAACGTAGCCAAAAGCAACTATCAAATTTTGAAATTAGGGATATCAATTTTACCCTTAAACACGTTACATCACAAATTTCAAAGGTCGAAGACTTGTTACATACATCAATGCCTCAACACTTAGTAGACAATTTTTTCAAATACAACACAAATAAACTCAATAAACACAATAACACCGTTAAAACTAAAATGATCAAAAAATTCAATTGAATAATGAAAAAACAAAACACAGTATGTGGATACATTTTAATAAAGTTTATGCCAGTTGGGTCGACTAAATCACTCAATATTGTTAATTATTTACTGGCGACATCAATATCTACCTCCTTTTAAGGAATGTTCTCTTGGCAGTTCGGTCTTTTCTATTAATATCTATTTTTCGTCGAGAATAAAAATTGAGAAAAAATGGAAGCGATTACAATTCAACAGTTCCGAAAGGAGACTCTATCCTTATCTCTGAGTTACTGATGAAATATTTTATGAAAACTACAGATGTTACATAAATAAACACTTATACGAAGAAAACGTGTAAGTATAGTAAAAGATTCTTTATGTTTATACACTGTAAATGGATGTGACACTCCTGCTGGAAGGGAAGATACGTTTCTATTTATATAAAGTACGAAATTGTCTTAGTTTTACTATAGTAATGTTTCATAATACTAACTCAGAATATTAATTGAAGTTATGAACTTGTGATATACATATGTGTTTACGCGTCTTATTCCTGATTCGTCTTGATTTTATTTGTAACTGCAAACACCCCGTACATTATCCATAAATAAGTCTAACAGTTCGGTATGTCCCGATCGAGGCTGCTGAGGACATTGTGGTGTACAAATTTCAGGCATTACTAGGCATTCTAGGCATTTTTTGAGCATTGTGAGTGTAAAGCCAGGGGCGCACGATACTATTTTATCTGCTGGATTGCTTGCTTGCGCCTATGCTGACAATCTTGCTGTCTGCTAGGCTGGAAATTGTGTGTCTGCTTGATTTCTGAGATAGCACCAGTTCTGTATGAGAAATAAAGCAGATCAGCTAGTAGCGTGGCAAGAAGACATGCAATTTCCAGCCTAGCAGACAGCGAGATTGTCAGCATAGTCGCAAGCAAGTAATCCAGCAGATAAAATAGTATCGTGTGTCGTTGGCTTTATTTGGCCTTGCTGAGGCATTATAACGAATCTAAAAAGATAAAAAGATAAAACAAGATAGAACAAGGTAAAATAAGATAATAAGATAAAGTAATGCCCAGTGGGCATTGGTGTACATGACTTTGGTCAGTGGTTTACACCTCGTTAGAGTGCGAGTGAAATTTTGCTTAAATAAGCAGAGGAAAGTCCTCTGTTATGAGATAAGTTTCTAATATAAGATAACAGGTTTTCAACATTCAAATTCAATCGCAATTCTTTCTTTCCACTAAACAGATTTCACTCTAAGGGCAATAAATTCACGGTGGAACCAACAAATGATGTCTATTAATTTAGCGGAAACCCCGCTATCTCATATTAGGAGCCTATCGCACAATAGAAGATTTTCCTGTAATTCTTAAATAAGTGGGATACGGTCGAGACTAGCCGAAGAAGTCCTTGGCTTTTTCCTTAGCCTTGTCGTACGTGTTGGTTATTTTATGGCCCACTCTGCGCCAAAAGGATGGCTCGGTTGTCGTAGCTTCTGCCGTCTGCGTCGTAGTTTCCACCGCTTCGGTCGTGGTTACAATTTGCGGTGTGTAGCGTACTGTCGACCATTCATTCCGGGGTATCAGTGATTCCCTTGGTTTTTCCCTAATGTCCCACGGATCGTCGCCGCCCAAGGGTGGCAAGGTAACGCTGGGATTCGGCTTGACTCTGTTGTAGAAGTCATTACTGTGCGGTACGTCATACGGTCCACCGCCTCCGTACGCTTGCAAGATTCGTGACTCCGGTTTATCGTTCGTCTGTCCCGCAGTCGGTTCGTCCGTCGGCGTCGATCGTTTCTCTTGTTCGGAAGTCGGCTGGGAATTTTGTAGTGGAATTACCTTTGACGGGATTTGGTCAGAATCTCGATTGAACTGATTGTCGAAGTGGGGCGTTTCAGTTTGTTGAGACGACCCCAATTGCTGATCGTAATTGTCACGTTGCGACGATTGAGAAATGTACGAATTTTGACGCTTATCTTCCAACGTGTCCTCGTCCTGTGTCTCTCGTTGGTTAAAGTCGAATGGTTTGGACTGCTGCTGCGTATCTTCCATTTGCGGCGACACCGAGCCGAGGTTGTGACGAGGATAATAATTGTTATGCGAGCCTTCAACGCTAGTCAAGTCGCTTGGATGGTAAGTATAATGCCATTGCAAGCCTACCGTCGCGTCGTTTGACTTGTGCACCCAGTGCAAGCGATCCATATTTTCCTTCTGGTTGTCAAACACGCTGCCTCCTTGAGTCGGATACAGAGTTTGCGACGTGTGATGATTGGGTCCAGGATACGTCGCGCGACTGCCAGATTCGACAATCCTTCCGTGGAAGTTGTCTATATCAGCCTCCGGGTTTACCTCGACCGGCTTAGAGACGTCGTCAACAATCGTATCTGTTCCATCTGTATGTGATGTAATGACATCATGTTTCTGATATCGTGGCCTCGGTCTTGGTTTTGGCGCTGGTTTTAATTGATCTTGATTGGTTTGCTGAGTCAGATCTTGATCAAAGTTCGGTCTTTGCGACATTTGTCCAAGCTGCCACTCGGATGGTTTGTTATTTCTGTCGTTGTAGGACGGATATCGATGCGATTGTTGCGAAAGATTATCTATATCCCACCCATTTTGTTGAGAATATTGATCCAAACGTTGAGTCTCGTGTCTCGGCCAGCTAGGATTTCGCTGCTGTTCCCTTTGTTGCCCGTACTCCAAATGCCCTGCTGTTTGCTGCGAGAAATCATCGAATCCTCCAGTCTGTTGAGTTAGGTCTTCGTTCTGCTGAGTCAAGTCTTCCAAACGATAGTTGCTGTCTCTTGGTTTACTGGATCTGTGCGGTTGTTGCAGTTGTCCGAATTCCACGTGTCCCATTGTCTGCTGCGTAAAATCATCAAATCTTCCCGTCTGATGAGTGAACTCTTCATTTTGCTCATTGAATTCCTCCAGACGTTGACTTTGCGGCTTGGCAGATTTATCTGTCGATTGCATTTGTTGACCGAATTCCAGTTTGCCAACGGATCGTTGCGTAAAATCGTCTGACTCTACCGTCTGCTGTGAAAATTGTTCATTTTGCCGTGTCGAGTCTTCTAGATGCTGATCACCAACAATTTGCTGTCCAAATTCAAGTTGACCCTCTGTTTGCTGTAAAAACTGTTCGCTCTGTTGGGTTAGGTCATCTAAATGTTTATTATCGACAACGTGTTGTCCAAATTCATGTTTATCTAGTTGAGTTTGTTGCGTCAGACTTTCCGATCTTGCTGTTCGCTGTGGGAATTGCTCCAATTGTCGAGCGTCATCAGTTTTCTGTCCAAATTCAAGTTTACTACTCGCCTGTTGTGTGAAATCGTCGGATTCTTGTGTCTGCTGCGTTAAATCCTCTAAGTACGGATTATCAATAGTTTGCTGGCCAAATTGAAACTGACCCTCCGTCTGCTGAGTGAATTGCTCGCCCTGCTGTGTTAAATCATCCATATGATGATTATCAATGGTTTGTTGACCGAATTCAAGTTCACTCGTTTGTTGCGTGAAGTCGTCAGAGCCTTGTGGCTGTTGTGTAAACTTGTGTTCACTCTGCTGCATGAAGTCC